GAACAAAGAGACCTTGGGGTGCAGGTTCATAGTTCCTTGAAAGTGGAGTCGCAGGTAGACAGGGCGGTGAAGAAGGTGTTTGGTACATTTGCCTTTATTGGTCAGTGCATTCAGTATAGGAGTTAGAAGGTCATGTTGTGGCTATGCAGGACATTGGTTAGGCCACTATTGTAATATTGTGTTCACTCCTGGTCTCCCTGCTATAGGAAGGATGTTGTGAAACTTGAAAGGGTTCAGAAAAGATTTACAAGGATGTTGCTGGGATTGCAGGTGTTCAGCTATCGGGAGAGGGTGAATAGACTGGGGCTATTTTCCCTGGAGCGACAGAGGCTGAGGGGTGACCTTATAGAGGTTTATAAAATCATGAGGGGTGTGGATAGGGTGAATAGACAAGGTCTTTTTCCCCCAGGATAGGGGAGTCCAAAACTAGAGGGGCATAGGTTTAAGGTGAGAGGGGAAAGATTTAAAAGGGACCTGAGGGGTAACTTTTTCACACACAGAGGGTGGTGTGTATATGGAATGAGCTGCCAGAGGAAGTGGTGGAGGCTGGTACAATGACAACATTTAAAGGGCATCTGGATGGGTGTATGAAGAGGAAGGGTTTAGAGGGATATGGGCCAAATGCTGGCAAATGGGACTAGATTAATTTAGGGTATCTGGTCAGCATGGACGAGTTGGACCGAAGGGTCTGTTTCCGTGCTGTACAGTTCTATGACTCTATAATCTTCTACAATGTTTCTTTCCTCAGACGCTCCAAATCCATCCAATAATGTCAGTGATGTGACGATGACGATAGTTCCAATTGTGGTGTTGGGCGTCCTGGTTATCTTATTGCTGTTGATCTACAAGAAGTACTGCAGATACCAAATTGTCTCAATCCTCAGGAAGAGCAAAAAACAAAACCAGGCAGAGGTGTTACGAGTAACTGAGCTCGGAGACAACACATTGACTGTAAGTCTTACCATTTTTCACCACCAGCAAAATAGTCGGGCTGCAGAAAAAGTGTCATGACAGGACTGAGAGGGCGTAGGTTTTGAAAGAAAAGCTAGAACTTTGACTCACCGAAGCGTCGAAGCTGAACGGGAAGTTCGGAAGAGGAATCCAACATTCCGAAAGGTTTTGAGACTGTAAATCAGGACAGGTTATTTGTTGGGATAATACTTTAAGAAAAAAATATTGACACAGGCAAGGCCAGCATTTGCTGCACGTCCCTAATTGCCCCTTGAACTGAGTGGCTCTCTCAGCCATTTCAGAGGGCAGTTAAGAGTCAACCGCATTGGCTGTGGGTCTGGAGTCATGTGTAGGCCCAGACAAGGTAAGGATGGCATATTTCCTTCCCTAAAGGACTTGAGTGAACCAGATTGGGTTGTTAGTGATAATCAATGATAGTTTAGCCCAGTGACAATTACAGAAAATAAAAACGTCATGGAATTGGGGATTCCATGACCAAATGTCATGATAGAAGCCGATTCAATCACAATATTGAGGCATGGATTGGATAAATACTAAAAGGACATGTTAAAGGGCACCGGCTGAGATTACCATGAAGGACTTTCCTCCTCAATCTCTCCCCTTGCCTGAGGCCTGGTGACCCTCAGAATAAACCACCCCCAGTCGACTTTGGCAACTATCATTATCAAGCCTGGTTTGCCCGCCCCCTTTGTGGGATGATGGTGGCACAGTTGTAAATTCTGTAGGCTTGTAATCCAGCGTGTCAGGTAAATACAACAGGGACATGGGCTCAAATCACACAAGTTGAATTTAATTCAACTGGTTGAATTTAATTCAGCTGGTTGAATTTAATTCCTACGTCTGGAATTGAAAACTAATTTGAAAAAACACATTTTTCTATTCATTTGTGGGACATGGGCTTCCATTTATTGCCCATCCCTAGTTGCCCCCTTGAGAAGGTGGGGGTGAGCTGCCTTCATGAACCACTGCAGCCCATGTGCTGTAGGTTGACCCACAATGCCCTTAGGGAGGGAATTCCAGGATTATGACCCAGCGACAGTGAAGGAACGGTGATTTATTTCCAAGTCAGGATGGTGAGTGGCTTGGAGGGGAACTTGCAGGGAGCGGTGAGATAACAGGGTGTAGAGCTGAATGAGCACAGCAAGCCAAGGAGCATCAGAGGAGCAGGAAAGCTGATGTTTCGGGCCCGGACCCTTCTTCAGAAAAAGGGTAGTGGTGTTCCCATGTATCTGCTGCCCTTGTCCTTCTAGATGGAAGTGGTTGTGGGTTTGGAAGGTGCTGTCTGAGGATTTTTAGCGGGGGTTCCCTCATGCCCTTTTAGGGAAGGAACTCTGGCTTACACCTGACTGCAGATCGCAGCAATGGGGTTAACTTTAACTGCCCTCTGCAATGGCTAAGCAAGACACTCTGTTTGAGGACAATTACAGATGCACAGCAAATGCTAACTTTGCCAGTGATGCCCACATCCTATGAAAGATGCTTGTAAAATATTTGATTTCTGCAGACTTGCCTGAATCCCTCGATAGTAGCCAGAGTAAAGAGCACTCTTGTAGATAAACACGAGAGCAGGCACTGTACTAACAAGCTCCTCTAGTGATCATTAAGAATTGAAAAGCACATTGGCTGACAGCAGTAATGTCCTCGCGAGTTCCGACTAAGAGCTGTTCTCATCAAAAAAATAACAACAATTTCTTTTTGTGTCTCACCCTAGGACCTGTTTGATCATTCCTGCACATCCGGGAGTGGATCTGGGCTGCCCTTCCTAGTCCAGAGAACAGTGGCCCGGCAGATTACACTGGTAGAGTGCGTAGGTCAGTACAAGCCAGTTCATGTTCACTCCCTTGTGAGGTCGTATGAACGGAGTTTCACATTTCGATTGCAAACTTCCCCCAAGTTATGTCTGCAAATCGATTGCTGGGCAAAGTCAGGATGAGCACTCAGAACCCATAGAGATCAGATGGTGTAGAGAGAGCATGGCTATCCATGCGATGCCCTTTGGACTACTCTAGTAAAGAGCTAGCAAAGCTCCAATAGGCAGAATGGTCTCATTTTGTGCTGTAAAAAGTCGTGGGGGGGGGGGGGGGAATGAATTTATATAACATGGTTCAGAACCTCACAGTGCCCCAAAATGTTAACTATTATTTTCTACTGTAGTAACATAGCACCAGTGATAGCCACAATGGCACAGTGGTTAGCATTACTACCTCACAGTGCCAGGGACCAGGGTTTGATTCCTCCCTTGGGTGACTATCTCTCCCTGAGTCTGTGCGGGTTTCCTCTGAGTGCTCTGGTTTCCTCCCACAGTCCAAAATGTGTGGGCTAGTTAGATTTGGCCATGCTAAATTGTGCAGGTTATGTGGATTAGCCATGGGAAATATAGGGTAGGATACTGGTTGGAGGATCAGGTTGGGCTTAATGGCCTGTTCCCACACTGTAGGAATTCTATGAATTTGCACACAGCAAGCTTTTACAAATAACAATCACATCATCTGTTTTGGGGATGTTGGCTGAAGATTAATATTGGTCTCAGGATACTGGGGAGAATTGACCAACTCTTCCTGAGGAAGACAGTCTATGGTCTGTGGATTCTATTCATTTCTTCCAATTCAAAATAGAATACTCACCCTTCCAGCCTCATCTAAATTTTTGCGCTCAGGCCTACGATACATGGGAACACCACCCCCCTGCAAGTTTCCCTCCAAGCTACTCACCATCCTGACTTGGAAATATCTCACCATTCCTCCAGTGTTACTGGGTCAAAATCCTGGAATTCCCTCCCTGAGGGCATTGTGGATCTACATACAGCACATGGACTGCAGTGGTTCAAGAAGGAAGCTCACCCCCACCTTCTCAAGGTGCAACTAGGGGTGGGCAATAAATGCTGGCACAGCCAGCGATGCCCACATGCCATGGATGAATAAATAAAACTCACATACCAACAGATTGAAGAACAGCTTCTTCCCCATTGTTATCAGACTGATGAACAGACCTCTCATATAATAGAGTTGATCTTTCTCTGCACCTTGTCTGTAGCTGTAACACTATGTTCTGCATTCTGTTCCGTTACCCTGATGTACTTATGTAAGGAGATAGCAAGAACTGCAGAATCTGAAGTCAGAGTCAGTGTGGAGCTGGAGGAACGCAGCTGGAGGGGCCCTTAGGGGTCCTGACCTGAAACGTTGACTTTCCTGCTCCTCTGATGCTGCCTGACCTGCTGTGTTCCTCCAGCTCCACACTTGATTGTACTCATGTAAGGTAGGATTAGTCTGATTAGCACGCAATACAATACTTTTCACTGTATATCGGTGCATGAGACAATAATAAATCAAATCAGGTCAAATCAATTAAACCAATGATATCCAAACATCCTGAGATTTTGCACCAAAAGCTCATTCCCAATCGATAAAGATAGGCAAATGCCCTTTATTTGGCACTAGCTTTAGAGAGAGGAGGCATTCTCTGGGTAAAGCATGTACTACAATGGGTCTTCATCACAGCTCCTCACTGCATAAGATCTGTTCAGTAGATATGGTACCACCATTCTCTTTCCTGATTGGGATCTACAAGGGTCTCTTAGATCAAGTGTGAGAGAGGAAAACCATTTGGTGATCCAATGAGAGGAGGTTGCTGTTGTCCTAGACACAATTGGGTTGATTGTACAATTGCAACTGCGCACAAGTGATACTGGGGAAGTGAGCCATTGTTACAGAGACGCTGGGAAAAGCCTTAAACCCTTCACCCTTTCTCCTTCAAAATTCAACCCTGCCCAAGTCCATGTGACACCATCACATTCAGTGGTGCTTAATGCGCTCTTCAGCATTAACCCTTTCAGGCCCTTATACAACACAGTGCCTAAAGGGTCTCAAGAATGACAGTCTCCTGGTTCCATGACCTCATGGCCGTTTCCATTTGTGGGAACATTCCTTGTTCGTTATGAGAGAAAAGAACCTTCCTCCACTGCTTGGGAGTAACCAGAAGTCATACAACAACAAATATCTCTCACTTTCTATCGAACGGTCCTTCTCGCACCCCACCTCCCTGTCTCCCGATGATCCCCATTATGCTGAGGTGCAACTTTCCTCCTTCGGCCTGCTGTTGGTGCTGCTTCTCACTGGGCACCAGGAACCCACTGGTGACTTGCCCACATTACCAATCTGGGGTGCATGAACAACAGTTGTCAGAAGGCCATTCACCCATCATAGCCTAGCCCAATCCTTTTGGGTGTGTGAGTTGTGATCTTTTTCCGATTGCTTTCCCCTCCTTTAGGTTCAGGAACACTTTTAACAACTGACCTCCTTCAACGGACTCATTTAAAATCAAGCAACTCTTGTTTTCATAGAATCCCTACAGTGTGGAAACAGGCTATTTGGCCCATCAAGTCTACACTAACTCTTCGAAGAGCATCCCACCCAGACCCACAGTAGCCCTGGGACACTGAATTTCCCACAGCCAATCCACCTAGCCTGCACATCTTTGGACTGTGGGAGGAAACCCACGCAGACATGGGGAGAATGTGCAAACTCCACACAGATAGTCACCCGAGGGTGGGATTGAACTCAGGTCCTTGGCACTGTGAGGCAGCAGTGCTAACCACTGAGCCACCATGCCTACGTTGTCATTGGGTCCAGCTAATCAAAGTTGGGCCCCACTGTATGGCCCAGTTTCTTACTGGAAAGTGGACTTACTTCCCACAGGGCCATTGCAAAAGCCTGTCTCTCTTTCTCTAACCCACTTTCTAATCCTATTTTGCCCTGTCTAGGGAAAGGCCGCTATGGGGAAGTGTGGAGAGGCGTGTGGCAGGGGGAAAACGTGGCTGTCAAGATTTTCTCCTCAAGGGACGAACAGTCCTGGTTTCGAGAGACCGAGATTTATAACACAGTGCTGCTGCGGCACGACAATATCCTCGGTAAGTGTTGCAGGATCCCAACCAGGGCCTGAAGGGGCCGCTTTCTCCTCATCACTCAATCCTGGAAATACAATCACTTCATTTTCTTTCATTCTTCTATGGGATGTGGGGGTCACTGGTAGGGCCAGCGTTTATTGCCTGGTCCTAAATGCCCCTTGGAGACCATTGGCTGTGGGTCTGCAGTGACATGTAGGCCAGACCAGGTAAGAATGGCAGATTTCCTTCAGTAAAGGGCATTAGTGAACCAAGATGGTATTAGTGAACTCGTTCTCTGACAATCAGTGATAGCGTTATTGCTGGCATTCTGTTTTCTTAATAATTAATTGAATCACTGAGGTAAAAGGTAAAGTCACAATACTCCCTGAGGGCAGCGCTCTCATTAGAGAGAGGTGACTGGTGATGGTTTAACCTGAGGGCCACCAGGCCTCAGGTGAGGAGAGAAATTGAGTCCTTCATGGTAACCAGAGCTGGTAGGGGAATTGAACCCATGCTGTGGGCATCATGCTATACTGCAAACCAGCCACCCAGCCACCTAAGCTAGAGGCATTAAACTGGGGACCTACATCACCAGCCACTCTCTCCCCTTGTTTTGAAGACTGAAGTAAGGGGAAGTTTCATAAACACATGATGAGGAAGGAAACAGAGAGGGCACAAGTGGAGCACAGGCACATGTTGGGTCGAATGGCCTGATTCTTCACCAGCTACGATCATATTGAATGGCAGAGCAGCCTTGAAAGGATGAAGCCTGCTCCCTGTTCCTATTTATTCCCGTCTGTGTCGATCGGCCTGCTCCCTGTTCCTATTTATTCCCGTCTGTGTCGATCGGCCTGTTCCCTGTTCCTATTTATTCCCGTCTGTGTCGATCGGCCTGCTCTCTGTTCCTATTTATTCCCGTCTGTATCGATCGGCCTGTTCCCTGTTCCTATTTATTCTCGTCTGTGTCGATCGGCCTGTTCCCTGTTCCTATTTATTCCCGTCTGTGTCGATCGGCCTGTTCCCT